ATCTGAGCGGCTCCAAAAGCTAAATATTATTTAAAGGCAGGAAGGTAATCTGGATGAACTGACTGCACAGATGAAGTTTTCACGTGGACTCTCACTTAAAAACATATTAAAAATACTTTATTCCCACTGATCACAGCAAATATAGCTGCCATTGTTACAGGAAAAGAAAGGATAGGGTAGCTCCGCCCAACGTGCATCAGACCGAAAAGCTGCTTCAGCTGCGCATATGAACTAAACTTGTAAAAGAATCAAAAATGAAGCAGCACGCGTGTTTTTGCTGCTCTTGCTGCTTGCGGTGTGAACGTAGCATAAGAGACTAATTTCTTCTCCAGCCTTTTAGATGGCCGTTAGATGTTTCAAGAGGGTTTGCTGCCTCAGAAAAGGTAAAGAGAAACATCCAGTTAGCAAATAAATCTATGCATGTGAGTAGAAGTAACCGCTTTTCCAACCAAAGGTAAAGTCAAAGGAAAATAGAAATATCGCAATGTTACTTGAAAATAATCACAACTTATATTTTTGGCAGAATCATTCAGCCCTATTTTAGATTTTATGCAAGTAGAAAGAAACCAGCAACACCACCATGGTAGCCATGAAGGTACGCCTGGAGCTATGAGAAGACTCGAACAAGAAACCATGGGAGCATCATTATCTATTTATCAACTTTAAGGTTGGAAGTGAGGAAAAGAGACATTAAAGCCTCCATCTAATGTATCTGATATTTTTAATTCCTGTCGCACAGGTTGTAGCGATCCATCTCAACCCCCTCCCCCATAAACACACGCACACATACGGTATACAAACGGTTGTATGTACATGTAATGAACTCGGATATCCAGAACCCTGCATTCAACCGCACCATGTAGTCAATCATTCAGAGCTGAGAAAAGCACTGTGCAGAGGAGGCATCATGTATACTTTATAAGTCAGGCTCTGGCGGCAGTGTGCCAGTGTGGGCCTGCAGTAGATCAATGCCCACCTGATATATTTCTGTCTCATCCATGATTCACTATTGCACTGGCAAGTGGTCATTTCAAAATAAATCAGAATACATTACCTGTCAGATGGATCGCAAATTTCCAACCGCTTTCGTTCTGATTGAGCGGTTGCTTAACTCTTCCTGCTGCGGCGAAAGATGAAACTACGCAATATTTTACGAGTGTTTAAACCCTTCATATAGTGGTTAAACGACCGGAGCCAAGATGACAATAAAACAGGGGATAGCCTCAGTTTTTTATTATCTTAAAGTGAAATAATACAGGGAGAAAAGTTCCTTAACCAACAATATTGTCCAGAGTTTTCATCAGCAGCAAATTACATCATGATTGAGCTTTCTTTTTTCTTCCTCTTTTTATTTTCACTTGCCTGCAAGAAATGCAGAGGACAGGCTGCCCTCTCTATTATGGGCGTAAATTACTGCCATAAACTGGTTTATTGAGCTAACTTTGGGACAGAGCAGGGGGTAAACTGCAACAAATAGTTTTTATATATTGCTCTGGAATAGCTTGCCCTGGAAACCATCTTCCTTTAATTCCACCCTTCATCAGCAACAAAATAAAAGCTCAAACTGATGATAGAATCCTTTGGGAGGAAAAAAGAGCCAAAAGCAATCTGAAAACAGCAGAAAAAAAACAAACAAATCTTACACTTTAAACTAACAATGAAAAAAATGAAAATATTAAAGGGATAGTTCGGTATTTTTGACATGAATCTGTATGGCATCCCCATCACCAGTGGCATGCAATCACACTGACTTACCCCTGGCAGCGTCCTGTGAGCAGAGTTATCGTCCAGTTTTGGTCAAGCCGAAAGTAGTCCGGCAGGTTTTTAGGAACAGCGAAATAAAACTTTTCTCTTCCCAAAACATTGTGTGTTCAAAAGAGCGATATTTTTGCATCCCAAAAACATTGTAGTGGAAAAAGTCACACGTCGTTATCACTTGGTCCTATTTTCTCTCTGTTCGTATCAGTGCGCGCCGTCATTCAGACAGCGAGAACCTGACAACAGCCATGTCTCCCTCCGCCTAGCTGGGCGGAGGGAGACATGGCTGTTGTTGAGCCGCCTAGCTGGGCGGAGGGAGACATGGCTGTTGTTGAGCTCGCTGTCTGAATGACGGCGCGCACTGATACGAACAGAGAGAAAATAGGACCAATTGATAACGACGTGTGACTTTTTCCACTACAATGTTTTTGGGATGCAAAAATATCGCTCTTTTGAACACATAATGTTTTGGGAAGAGAAAAGTTTTATTTCGCTGTTCCTAAAAACCTGCCGGACTACTTTCGGCTTGACCAAAACTGGACGATAACTCTGCTCACAGGACGCTGCCAGGGGTAAGTCAGTGTGATTGCATGCCACTGGTGATGGGGATGCCATACAGATTCATGTCAAAAATACCGAACTATCCCTTTAATGCTTGTAACAGTAATGAAATATAATTCTGATGCCAAACTGACTAAAATTTGGAAATACTATAAAATAATGCTGTTATAAAATACTTTTAGAGAGTAAGCAGGGCTTAAACCTTGGGGGAAAAGAAACAAAGGAGTGGTGGGACAATAATTATAACTATTACTAAATAACTCCTATTATTATAACTGTAATAAAAACATAATTTCAATCTAATTATGGTCTAAGACTGAATCTGATCTAATATTATGTATCCTGATGATATACTTCAATTAACAAGTGATCACTGAAATCTGACCAGGCTTTCATGCTTTGGTCCATCCCACAGTAAATAAACTGAATAATAAATATGCTGAATTTATACGGCATTTTTCTTAAAGGTCTCTACATTTCAGACACGGTCATTCAAACGCACAAAAATCAGAGTATAGAATGAAGTATTCTAGGGCTACGTTCACATAGCAGCCTGAAGTGACCCAAATCAGATTTTTTTGCTCATATGTGACCTGTATCTGATCTTTTCATGGCTGAACAACACAGATGTGATTTTTTCGAAAGCGACCCAGGCCACTTGGCTATGTGGTCCTGCATCCGATCAGTATCAAATCTTTTCAAATGTTAACCTGTGTCTGAATGGCCAGGACGCATCCATCCGATCTGTACGCCAATAATACTCAACAAAGGTCACCATTCTGCGTCTTACTACGCAGAAGCGGGAAGAAGATGGTGGTCAAAAATCTGGAGAGCAGTCTTTATTTTCAACATTCTTGAAAAGATGCGTTATTAATGCACTGGCTGAGATTGGGAAAGAAATAAAAGATTCCAAGATGCGCTCCAGCACTACCATCCATGTTTACTTCCGTAAACACAGGACACCGTTGCTTTTGACATCATTGCGTCCTCTACTCTGCATGCGGGACGTTTAAGTTGTGTGACTGCAGTTCACACAAGAGATCACGTACAAGTCGCATATATTTGGAAATGTGAACGGCAATGCAAAAGATTTTACACAAAGAAAAAAAAAAAATCGGAATTGAGCATTAAGGCCTGCAGTGTGAAGGTAGCCTTAGATAGCCGATATGATACTTAAGCCTGACTCCTCTGCTTCCTCATTTAGTCCAGGGCTGATTTTTTAAAGTTGGGATGTTTCCTTTTAAAGCTCTTAATGGTTTGACTCCTTTGTATCTGAGTGATGCTAAAACTGTTCATACTCACACCTGCAGGGTCTTAACCAGCGCCTGCTGAAAGAACCGATCAGAGGTGATTCAGCGGTAAATTTAAACTGACCCGCCTCGTTTTAAAACAGGAATTAAAACATATTTATTCAGGATGACTTTGAAGAGGTGATAGTATAGCACTATTTTACAGCTATTTTTCTGAGGTTCTTATGTTTTTTTTTTCTTCATCTTAATGCCTTTTTATTTCTTACTTTTAACCTAAACAGCGATACAATATAATTGGCAACATTGTCACAATGCACTCCAGATATATAAAAAATGACTTTAGACATGTAAAATAGAAGGGTTTATACACAGTAAATTTCTTTATCATACTATGATGGGGGGATATAAGTTGTAATATCATAGTTTTTCATATTGCCATGTATTTCATTTATTGCCTGGTTCTGCTGGAGGTTTCTTCCTGTTAAAAGGGAGTTTTTCCTCTTCACTGTCGTTACAAGCATGCTTAATGTGAGGGATTGCCTTCGAGTCAATGTGTCGATGCAATCAGCTGGTTTTCCTTAGATAGAAAACTTCAAATCAATTTGATTGTATGATCTGGTTGAACTGTAAAGTGCCTCGAGATGTTGTGAATTGACGCTACAGAAATAAACTAAACTGAATTTCTTAATTCTTAATTCCTTCTGTCACTGTATGCTTACGAACCTGAACTGCGGCCCGCCTTCTGGACAGTGATGCTGCTATTTCGTTTCCCCCCAGCCTGACAATACTGGAATCTGATTCTATTTATCGTTTCACTTCACTCATTTTAGTTAGGAAATACTTTTCATGTGTCTGTTCTCTGTCTTCTCATTTTAACACTGGCTGAGAAAAAACATTTATGATCCAAAGATTTTTGGTGAAAATATTTTCTTAAAATTTTTCTCCACGTAGATTGAAAGCTGCAGACATATAGATAAATGCCTTTAAGCACAAATCCCTACAAAAACACTAACCTGTAAAGTTAATTATATTTAAAAAATGCCTTTTTGCTTCACCTAGACTCATATAATCCATTGATGGCAGAATATTCTGAGCTGTATTTACATGCACTGGGATCTATGATAATTATCCACCTAAAACAGTCATTCACGTGGCATATGTGTACAATTAAAACTTCAATATTTTATTATTTAACCTAAATTAAGATAAGAAAGTCAAAACCCTGTAATGAATACATAAAAGCTTTCAATAAATAAAAGAATCTTTAGACCAATGAAATTCTACATATTAAAAATGTGATTTAATTTTGTTAAAAAAATGCCATTAAATTTTAATAAGAAAACTAAATTCATTTAATTAAATAATGCATTAATTGTGTGCATTCTTTAGAAATGTTGCTCATTGCAGGTGAATTCAGGCTTTCTGTCTTACTTGTGGGGTAAAAGGTGAGGAAGAAGAGCAGAAGACCAGCAGCCAAGTTCCCTAGGAATGTGACGACTCCACAGGTGATGCCTTCAGGGACCGGGTACACCGTCTCAATGAACAGCTCGAAGAATATCGGCACACTGCTGTTGATGAATACGCCAACCAGGATGCAGGACGTGTAAAGGATGGCTGTGAAAAGAAAATGCAAACACCGGAACCAAATGAATCACAGTTTGTTTTAATGCACCAGATTAATAAAAAAAAATCTAACTGAACAATTCTTTGGGAAAAATGACAAAAAGGGTCCAGTTTATAGAACAGCAGTGATGTATTCAACCTTTAAGGGCTTCCTGCTCAACCATATTTTTTACCAGCAACAGATTTATGATGGACTTTCACCATGAAACAACGCTCCATTTAGTAAGGTGGCCCTCAAGGTGGCAATTTAGCACAAACAAAGTCAAAATACTCTGGGTGTTTTCAGAGCAAATAGTCATTTTTTTCCAAACCCAATTCCAGCATCTCCTTCCCTCTTTTCTCAGCATGAAATTATTAGTTTGTCATTTGAAATGTATTTTTCTGGCTAACTTTCTAATTATGATGTTTCTTTTTCATGAGCTCTGTATTAGAAATAATTGGTAGAAGGCAAAAGGTGCAAAAGCTATTAGAACATGTGAGTATAAAACATTTCTCTACAGAAGGGCTTTGTATTTTTTCTGCAGACATTGTATTATCTTTTTTTTAAACTTTAATCTGTAAAAATAAATAAAAAAATCTTAATTTTTGGTAATTATTAACTAAATAAATGAGAGCACGGAGACTTAAATGCCTCACCCCATCACATACCTTAAGTTAAAAGTCTTATTTGTTGTTACTACCTGTAAAATAATAGCAAAAGAGTGATAAATCCATCTCTATTTCTTATACTTCATCTTGGAGGGACAGTTTTTCCCAGTCAGACATGAACTGCAACAGAAACATTGTTGATTGCCTGGGTCCACCGGTTCAGTTTCAATTTATTTTGCAATATATCACTGGTTTTATTATGCCTGCACACATTGCATTAAGATGCAGCTCATGTCACAGATACCACAGTACATAAAAAAAAAAAAAACATATTTCTTATTCTTTTGCCAAAATACACAGGTGTCCACTCAGTTAACAGCTTGTCTCATTTGGTCCTTGTGCATGGTGAGAATCTTGGTGTTCAAGCCTTATTTTCAGGGTATCACTAAATTTTGCTGGGATTTCCACATTTCCATTCGAATATCTTGTGTTTTTAGTGCTAGTTAATTTCTTACAATGATTTGTTGAAGGCTTTCATGAATATGTTTGAAAAACAAGTTCATAGGAACAAGATGCAGTAGGTTAAACATTTATTTTTAAAGACTTGCAGGAAATGCTAGCTAGCATGCTTTTTCACGGATTTAGCCTGAGCCCATGTTTGCACATGAACCAAACCCCGGAGTCCTCCTTTTTTACCCCCTAACTTCTGCTTAACGCCTGAAATAACGTCCCATCTGTCTATGTCCTTTTATCTGAGCTCCCCTGAGGACCACGGCATTCATGCTTACAGGTTTGCAACTGGGGACCTTGACCCCAACAGGCAGCCTTCAAAAGCTGCCGTGTTTTTTGTCTATAATACTATATAGGATTATATCCCAAAAGGTAGAAGGAGACCCTTTGAAGGATGCCGACTAATTATCTCAGCAAATGACTGTAATTATTAAAAACAGGAAGAAAAAAGGTTTCCTTGGAGAAAACAGGTGTCCAATCAATCATATGTGAACCTCACATGTTCTTCCTCTGTATTTGTAGTATTTCCATAAGCAATGCTGCCCCCCACAGCTCAACCACAGTAATGTTTGAAATATAAGTTAACCATTTGAATTGTTTGCTCTGCAGGTACGTTTTGAGTCGCAACCCGTCTTTTGACATTTAGCTATAATGTCTTCTGTATCTTCTTTTTAAATTATTGCTTGAGTAATGTTTACCTTTTGTTTGGAAAAAGTAATGACAGACCTCAAGGTACAACAATGTCTAATGGAATTGCTGACGTTATCCTTAACTTTCCTACATCTGCCACTGATTGCTAAGTTTAGCTAAAGGGGAAAAAAATGGCTAAAGCACATTCCACTTTTTCCATGTAAAAGACAGTTAGCACTTTAGAGATATATTTAACTTGATAAAACAAAAACTCAACAGTTATATTTACATAAAAAAGGAGCAACACTTTTTCTCTTTTAAATTCAGTCTGTTTAAACCTAAATCTAGGAAGTCTGTTCAGAAGCAGACAGGAGGCTAGCTACCAGAACACAACAGCAATTATTAGCCTGTTGTCGTTGTCTTACTCTTTTAGAGAATAATAAAAAGCAGCAAAGTTCTGCACATAAAGCAACTGAAGATTCCTACCAAAGGAAATCTGTTTGTTCTATAGTTATTCCTTAAGTCTGTAGCTGCGTTTAGACCAAACCGCTCAGGCACGGACTGGGAACGATTTTCCATCTGGCATTTTTCCGTCTACACCGGCCCACTTATGGACGTAAGACTGGAAATGATGCAAATCCCCATCATGCAAAGCAACATATTTTTGCAAAATATTCAAACATAAATTCACCAAATATAAGAGGAACATTGTAGTTTGGTTTAAAGAAAGCATTTTAGTTTTATTATACATTTTAGTTTTATTATAATCTAGTTTGTTGCAAGGATTTTACAGTTGAAGAAATAGAAAATTACACCATATGCCAACTGTCACAAGGATGTGCATGACAATGAAGGGCTATATATACTACATGCATCATTTTTATAGTTAACCTTGTATTACTTCATGAGCTCCTTGAGTTATTTACTGTCCCAGGTTGGTGGTTCGGCCAGAGAGTAAGTGTTGGTGCCAGGAGGTTCTAATTGAGGCTTTTCACATGTTTTCTGTTCTGCGTTTGCCTTGAAGGTTAAGCTCAGGTTTAAGTATTTAATTTCCTTTTTGGGATCAAAGACATTTTTTTTTATTTGAGTTTAATTTAAGCTTAGGTTAAGTGCTTAAGCATAGCAAATTAACGGAAACATGAATGAAAGTTAATGTAAGGTCCCTTTTAGAATAAAAGAGTTAATATTCAAGTCTTTTTGTTTCTAGGAAAAAGCATTTTGTTGTGATATCCCATCAATCTGTTTGGTAAGACATCAGACAAACCAAACTGGGAGCCGACTGCATTAGGAAGCTAATATCTGGGATATGAGGACATGAGCTAGACAGACAATAATAGCAGTGGTCGGGAGAATGACGATAGATGATTATGATAACAATCTAAGGTATAGAAATACATGACTGAGTGCTTATTAGATGACTTAGGGAAAGGGAAGCTAAATCCACTAACATCCCTTAAGGTTTTATCTCCTGACGTGAATTGATTGATAGCCCACCTTGTGGCAGCTAGTTTCTTTAATCGCTTTGACTTTGTACTCTAACACGCACGGTGAGACAGTAACTACAGGGATGAAAAGTGACTAAGCTTCAGTGGCTCAAAAATCAAAGAGTCACCTTGATGGGGATGTTAGCGTGGGCCTACCTGCGGTGACAGGGAGGTGGGTGATTGTGCTCAAACAGGTGAGAGTAAACCACGTGGAGGACAGCGAGGCTCCGGCCAGCATCAGCACCAGGATCAGCTTCAGCATCCCACGGATGGAGTCTGCAAATCTGGGTTTCACAAGAGATGACACAAAAAAAAAAAAATCAAAAACAAAATCCCAGCTGTGTCAAAATGTAAAACGCTGACACAAATTCAAAGATACAAGCTGACGAGATTAAAGGCGGCTGCTCTGGAAACAAGATGCATCCTTCATAAACACAAGATGATACGCTGCAATATTTCAGCAACTCTGTTTCTTCTGTGTGAAGCGTCAAAATATATTACAGAGGATATGCACTGCTTCGCAGGAAGGATAGATCATTTCCGTCTCCCACTTGTTTCTGAGCATGTCAGTTCTGCTTCTCATTAGACTGAGAGGCCAAAAGTGTAGAGTTGATTCAATTTGTTTCAACAACTCAGCCGGCAAAGTCAAGACATGTCATAATGTAGGGAGAAGAGAAGCCATTGGGCCATATCTACAAAGACATCTTTTAAGTTCTGGGGCTTTTCATTGCAGCCTTTTCTAATATCTATTTGAACTGCTTTCTTCTCCTTTGAGACATATGCATATTAGAGGGAGATCGGATGAAGCTGTAGAAGCTCGTATTTAGGATAGACACTAATTGCTTTAATTTAATTGGTTACAAACAATAAGCGGAAGAAAATAGGCTGACAAGTAACCAAATACAAGCATAAAAAGACCCGCTGCACATGATTGATTGGTTCAGCTTGGGGGTGAAATTCTGTCAATGAGCTGAAAGCAAGGGGATGGCAGAAAACATCTTTTGCTTTGACGGGGGGGAGCATTCACACACTGTTCTCCTGTGGCATTTTTACGAGACATAAATGTCCTCCGATGTTGTAGAAGCTGTCTTTTATAGGCTAACAAATTAGCTCTATGTTCACAGAACATGAGACACATATGAATAAGTCCACAGATCGCAGGGGCAGGAAACGGGGCAGAACCTCATGAACTTTTATCTCTCCTGATGAAATCACAACTGAAGTGCTCATGGGCCCACATTTGCCAAAACACATGGATCCATCTCATGGTTCCCAGGCTGCAACTGCACCCCCTAAAATCTGCATCCACCATCTGCCACAGGCTGGCTCACATCCACAACTCTTCATCCACTCCTGGTGCCAGAGAGACGGACAAACACATTTCCCTCAACCCTGCACAAGCCTCTCAACCCTTTGCAGAGAAGATCACAGACAACTCTGTGAATTTTAATCGGCTGTTTTATTCAAACTAAGCAGCTTTTTCAGTTGTTTCCTATCTGGTCCCAAAGTACACTTGACAAAGATGTTTCTTGTTGTTTTCCAAATGTCAGTTTAGTTTTAAGTGTTTCGAGACAACTGGCTCACAGTACTCAACACAGCAAAAAATTTCTTAAATGGTAATACTGGCAAACCAAATTCCAATAGAACAGTTTGTCCATTTTAATTTGGTTAACACCCCTGTCATATAGTTGCATATTACCCTTTGGGGCACAATATTAACATTGCTACATCACTTTATAAGAAACTAATGCTACCGCACATACACACACACACATTGTGACAGGATTGACACAAATGCAACTCAGATACTGCAGCGATAATGAGCCAATAATAACATTGCATAATCTCATGGTGATCACTGATATTTGGTCTGACTTAGAGAACAATAGCTACCCTTGCTTAAAGGTAGCTACTGTTTCCTTTTCCCCACCACAATATGCAGATGGTTCATTCAGCAGAGGAATGCGGTCGGCAATTGTAGGAAGTTTCTCTCCTTTTTTGAAAACCTGATTTTAGTATTTTACCGGAGAGGAAGTTATCAGTGATTCTTAAAAGTAAAGGAGAGGATGTTCTTTTTCCGGGTGGATCATCTAAGTAAGAGGTCCTCCTAATTTTCAGTCATTCTGGTGATATGCTTAGGTAAGGCCATCCTATGTGCCTAGTTATGTGTGGTGAGCTACGGTTTCAAACAGCCATTGAAGCTCACCTTTCTCAACGCCGTTCTTTGAAAATGACCGAGGGTCGTGAGAGAAAAAGTGTCAACGAAGCGTATGAGAAGATGAGAAAAGCCTTGGAAGAGAGAAACAAGACCAGAGTGTTTTTGGGAGTTTCTTTCATGTGATAGCATACACTAAAAGCACAGGTCGGGCTTCCCACTGATCCCTTGTTTGCAAAGTTTCTACTTGACAGGTAAAGTTTGGCATGCTATTTGGAGAAATCCATTTCACATCACTGCTAGTAAAACGAGGAGAATGGTTGTTTCTGCATGCTCTCCCACATGTTTAATAATATCCAAGTTTTCAAAAGAAGCAGCAGGCAGAATGACTTCCGGTTCAAGGGTCAAACGGCGCCGTCGTCCAATCAGCGATGTCTCATGTTTCCCATTGGTACCTACCTTTTCCGGTAGGTTAATGTAATTTTGTTTTTCTTAATGTAGTTGCGCTTTGCTTTATGTAGTTTTGTTTTTCTTAATGTAGTTGCGCTTTTAGATTTGTAGTTGCAGTTTGCACTTCAGGGCCACCGTAGCAATCCCTCTCGGGAGCAGGTACAGGGTTGTGCATGTGGAGATGATGGGTCTTTTCATAAATTCGGGAATATCCTCCCCTATACCTTTAACTTATGATGGATAAATACACTATTAATAAAGAAGAGCACTCACAGGTGTGCAAAGAAAACGAACAAACCACTTCATGCATATACAGAGGGGTGTTCGGTTAATATGGATGTTTACTTGTGGACTACGAGTTAAATGAAGAAGAAAAAAAATCAATAAATTTGATTTCACATTTTATATTTAAACTTTAGACATATTTGAGAATTAATAATCTTAATAATCATTTTTTCTTTCTGGGACCCCGTCATTCAGCACTTCTAGGGATCGAAAATGTATTGCATTTGTAATACATGCACAATTTTAAAATTTACAATTTCCCAACTGCTGGTGCCTTTTGTTTGTTTTTTGTTTTTGAGGGGGTCAGCTTACATTGAACAAGGGTAAAACATGTCCTAGGAGGCAGTGATATGATAGAGTTTGCTGCCACACAGAAAGGAAGAGAGCAGCCAGTGCATAAATCCATGCATGTCAGCTTAGAAGTAAGCACTTTTCCACGTAGCAGTAAAGCCCCATGATAATGCACTCAAGAGTGAGCAATCAAGGCCATGAAAACAATAAGGAGCCAAACATGTACATCCTTGTGGTTGGTAAAATTTCTGTAAATATTTTGGTTAAAAAAAATAAAAAAAACAACCTTTTAAATTGAGCCAAAAAGCACACAGCCATTCTCAGGAGAACGGAATAATAAATTAGTCGAAGGCCATAGCTTTACCAGTGGGCCGCTGCAGGACGCTCTGGACAGATTATGTCCCTTAATGATATCATAAGGGGAATGTTTTTCTAACAGAGCGTTTTAAGCACATATCTATCACATAGTAAGCTGGAAAAAGTTAAAGAGAGAAGGATGAGGAATTTGTAGAGCAGTGTGTTGATACCGAGGCTGGCTAACTGTTAGCTATTAATGACTTTACTGCTTTCTATCAAAAATTAACGTCCCTGGTTTCTAGGAATCTGGGCTATACCTGATATAACCTGCACTACATTCAATCATTCATTCATCAAAACAGAATTTAACGCCAGAAATGAGGAATGAGGTGATTTAAATAATGAAAAAAAAAAGGCTCATCTTATTTCATGTGAATAATAGCTAATTATCTTATTTTAAAAGCAAAAATACTCATTACAAATATCTGCTATGGGCAAACACACAAGTTTTAGATCAGGTTTTGCAGTGCAATTTAACTTCAACATTAGTTAGGGTAAGTTATCAAAAGAAAGTCAGCATATCCCAGCTGCGTAACAGAGCTAATGTGTTCTAATGTGCCAAGCGCAGAGCAGAAATAGAACAATATGATGACCAACATGGAGTCACAGATCTTCCCTGTTTACAGATAAAACCCATCAATCAGGAGCTTATAATCATTTGTTTTTGCTCCATATCATCCCATCAATCTGGAGCTCTGCACACCTCAGGCCTCCGTGATCTGGAGGAAAATTAGCAGGTTTAGTTTGCTTCCAACTACTTTTGACTCGCCTACACTTCTCCAGGGTATTGTAATGGGAAGATAATTGATGAAGTTTGTAAGTAGAAATTCTGTTCACTCCCTCTTTTCATTTCAAGAAAAAAAAAGGTGCAATATGTCAACGTGAACCCACCAGCTGACAAAGGGATACTCATTTTCTGCCATCTTTATTTCAAAGATTCAGACTTCAGTTGGTTTAATACCCCCATCCTGCAATCGCATTGCATTAATATATTATGGCTTTAAGAGGAAAGATTTCTTCCAGTTCAAGAAAATAATTTAAAGGAATACTTTAAAGGTTACGAGAGCTAACATTAAAAATAAACCGATGCTCAGATTTGGACCTCAAAGATGTTTTCGAAGACGTCTTATGCTGTTTATCAAGACTTTGTTTAGTGTCCTACAGTCTTCTCTCTTCAGGAAACGGACTTTTATGGCTGGATGTTGGCATGATGAAGTTTCTTTGAACTCAAGCCAATGTATTTCAGAAACAAGTTAATAATGCAAAGGGAAATAAATAGGGATGCACGATATTGGGATTTTGGCCGATATCTGATATGCGATATATATTTTAAAACTCATGTAGCCGATAACCGATATCGATACCGATGTTAAAGCTGGACAAAAATACGTAGTCATTGAAAATAGCAGTTTTGTTATCCATTTCTGACACTTTGATAAATAATATACTCAAATATATTTTCATATGCTGATATCAAATTGATTTTTAAAAAGGCGGTATCGATCTATTTTACTTTCAAAATCTCGTGAAATTTCATCGTTCTGTTACAAACTCTCGTGATATTTTGCAAATTCTTGTGAGATTTTGTTAGTAAAATAGATCGATACCGCGTCAATATATCAACATATAAAAATATGGCAAAATTTTGTGAATTTTCGGGGGATTTCATAGGATAACGATGACATATAGCAACATTTCATTAGTAAAAGAGATTGATATGGTGTTTTTAAATGGCAATATATCAGC